CACGGAGACCCCGGCCCCACCTCACAACCCTCCTAGAGCACAACTACAGCAAAGTGCCCCGGCGCAAGCCCGGCCTCCCGCCAGCGGCGCGGGCGCCAGCGCCTCCCCCTCCGCGGTGTCGCCATTAGAGAGGATCAGCAGAATGAAGCAGAACCCTCCCAGCACGACTGTAAATCAGGTTTCGGTCTCCCCGTACGCTGGTGGCAGTGACAAACAAGACAAAGCACCTTCTGCTCCGGCGGGCCCGGGCCAGGCCTGCGGGGCACCCGCCGTCAGGGACAGCTCGGCCCGCGGCGCGGGGTCCATCGCAGGCGCCAGCACCACTGTAACGAAGGTGGCGCCTGCGGCCTCGGGAGGGACCGGCTCCGATGCTTCGAAAAGCAAATCCCCTTCCCCTCCGACGTCGTCGCTGCCAGCCGCGAGCTCCGAGGCCCAGGCCGGAGGCGCGGCCGTGCCCGTCAGCTCCGTCCCACCCGCCGACGTGGCAGCGGCGCCGCCTGCTCTCAAATCTCAGGCGAACTCCGGCGGGGCCTTCCCAAAGCCCAGCTCCAGCATTCCTGCGAACAACCCTTTGGTCACCCAACTCCTTCAAGGCAAGAACGTCCCTCTGGAGCAAATCCTGCCGAAGCCTCTCACCAAAGCGGAGATGAAAACGGTCCCGTTAGCTCCTCATGAAGAAAAAGGGGCGGCGGCAGCGTCCAGCACCACGAGTGTAGCAGGACCCGGCGCCAGAGCCGAGGGTGGGGAAGGGCACTCGGGTTTACCCACACAGCAGCTTGGGAAGATCTTTTGCCCGAACAGGCCTCTGCCTCACATTCCAAGGACCTTTCCGCTGCCCTTGGGAAAGGAGCCCGGCCTCAAGCAGCACCAGTGCCACGAGGCGCTCAGCAAAACAACACAAGAGCAGATCCTCCAGACTCTTATCAAGAGGGTCCAGAGGCAGAACTTGTTGCCGGTCCTTCAGCCTTCGCAGCTGAACCTCACTCACTCAGGCTTCCAGTTAGAAAACAGCTCCACCAGCCAGAGATTGGTGCTGGGGTTTGTGGGCAGGAGGACGTCCAAGCCCGCTATGTCTGGTCATTATCTGCTCAACATCTCCACCTACGGTCGTGGCTCGGAGAGTTTGAGGAGAGGCTTCTCCCTGAACCCCGAAACCCGCTTGTGTCTGACCAGTCCTGCTGATGCTCCAAAACCAGAGTTCGGGGAATGTGAGGAGACGGGTGGTGACGGCAGCAGCAGTGACGAAGGAGATGCAGACGACGAGAGCACCGGGGACGAACGCGAGCTCCTCGGCGTAAAGGAGGAGCCCCAGGCGTCACAGGCTTCCGGCCAGTGTGAAAAAGAGCAGGTACCACCCAGCAGGAATCCTTCGGATTACAGCAGCCTTGCTAAAAAGGGCCTCAAGACAGAAGCGGCCGCGTCTCAGCAAGCAGCAGGCAGCAAGGAGAACATTCAGGCCTTCGACGGAACTACGCTGGCGCGGGATTTCATCCAGGCGGCGCAGGAGCAGGTGGCGCAGGCCATGAGGGGGAAGGCCCAAGGCAGCCCGGAGCTCTTCAGCGCCCCCGGCCCGGCCTCAGTGCCGCCGCCGCCTGGGAACACATCGGCGCAGCTCCTCGGGCCCAGTTACAGCGGCACCATAAACGTCTCCACCTCCCCGGACGTGAACCAGGGCTCCCTCATGACGGGGCTGTCTGACTGCAACCAGCTGGCCAGCAGCATGGGCAACGTCATGTCCTTCTCCGTGACTGTAACCGCCCTCCCCGGCAGCCCGGCCCGGAGCTCCGGCGGCCACGCTCAGACCCTCCCCGTTCAGGCCTTCGCCGAAGACGACGGCGCCGAGGACTCGCCCTCCAAATGCTACTGCAGGTTGAAAGCCATGATCATGTGCAAGGGCTGCGGGGCCTTCTGCCATGACGACTGCATCGGCCCCTCTAAGCTCTGCGTCTCCTGCCTCGTGGTGCGGTAACCGGGGCGGGAGGTGGGGAAGAGGATGGCTTGATGTTGGGGCTCAGCTTTCAGAAATCCGTTGGGAAGAAACAGGAAATTTACTGCCTTGCACAAGAGACACGTTACTGAATCAGGAATACAGAGTAGAGTTCTTCTTTCATTAAAGAAAGAGCACCTTCTTGTACAGTGAGTCTAAATTGAGCTCAACTACGTGAATTGTGACAAGAGTTTGCACTTAAGGAATTATGTAAATATGTCACATTATTTTGTTTAAAAATATTTTTTCAATCTTTTAGGAGTTAGTGTTTGACTTGTACTGCAGTTTCATTAACCCCAGCCTGCTCTCCAGCATGTTTTGCTGAGCTCTGCTCTAGATGGGGGAACGAACCCCTGGCGAAACCTCAGCCTGTTGTTGCTCTTCTCTGGACAAAGAGGAGAACTGGATAATCGACAAACTAAACGTTTGTACCGACGGATCACAGAGCACCGAAGCAGGAATCCCTGAATCGGCTCGCTCGGTTGCTCTAAATTCTAGTTCAAATTTTTTTCAGATTTGGAAGGCGTTAGCATCGTACCCGCCTCCCAAGTGATGAATTGCCTTTCCCCTGCGAGCAGGCTGTGTCCAGAGGGCGGCCTGGGTTGTGCAATATTGGCTGGTGGGTTTGGTTTGCGTGTCCCCTCTCCCGGGAGGCGGCTGCAGTAGCCTTGTTTTCAGGAGGGCAGCGTCTCCTTTTGCTACTGGTAAATAGTGGAAAAGGCAACTGTACTGACCCTGCGATGGAAGAGTTTAAAAATCACTGAAGCAGCTCAGTAAGCGATTACCGGAACCATTTAAAGCAGAGGTGGCAAACTGTGCTGAGCTGCGTCTCGGGTCGGGGCCGTCGGGGCTGGGG